CTTAGACCGCACGTGCGTTTTGAACGTGAACACTTGGAAATCAAGTCATATGTTTGATATTTCATGACCGCGCCCGCCACCGCGCCCGCGAGTCAACGTGAACGAGCACTTATAATTTCACAATTATAAGTTTGAAATCACCAACCCCTTTTGAGCAAGCGTGGTGATTAATACTCAAATCTTCTCCGTGTGAGAAAGAGGCCTTTGTTCAGCAGTGGGCTCTGATAGGCTGACGACGATACGATGTATGACCTAGAAATTAAATTCAGTAAGGTTTGCGTTGGTGACACAACCAAGGCTTTCATTCATTCATGATCGTCGGTCAGTCATCAGCAGCGAACTAGGTGTCTCCCAATTTAAATGTTTCCTTTAGCTGCGACCTGAACATCGAAACTCACATGACATGATAAAATAAATTAGTAGTAATTTATAAATGTAAACTCTTTTTTTTTTATTTACTCACGTTTAATTTAACGTTCTACTGACATAAATTTACATATGATAAGTTAAATAAAAATTAAAGAGACCATCTGTCTTGTTTACTCTGTATCGTTCGTTATTTATAACACAAAAAAATGGTAGTGTAGAATATTTTGCGGTATTTTTACTGCTTATATATATTTGTTTAAGAAAAATTCTAAGCAAATTTTATATATTTTATATATTCTAAGCAAATTTTATATTTAATATAACATAATCTTAAAATTATCTTTCATCCTTTTAGTGTAACAATAAAAGACACAAGTTAATCAATAAAATTTTTAAGTCTTACAGTCGAGGCTTACTGTTTTGTCTTTTGTAGATCTTAATATTGTCGTTAAGATATTTTCAGAATCCACATTTTATTTTTATAGAAGATCTAATTTTAAATTATTTTTATTTTTTATTGAATTTGTATGGACTTTCCTCTCAAATGTATAGGTTCGGAGAATCAAATAATATACATTTTCATACATCTTCAAGTAATACTCGTTTTAAATTGAGACATACAGGTACCTACGAATTATTTTGGCACAAAAAATGTCAAGAGTATGGTCGCCGAAGTCACAATTTGTAATTTTAGTTTTATATTCTTCGGTTATAATTATTTTTTAATTCTTACAATTATTTTCTAATCTAAGCATTTTTTTCTACCTTTAATTTCTTTAACTTCCATTTTTACACTTATCAACTACAAAAGGCACTTTATTCAAAACAATATAATTTTGTTTTTCGTAAGTTTTTTTTATGTGAAGGTGGCAAACGAGCAGACGGCCCACTTGATGGAAGGAACTTACCGTCGCCCATGGACATCCGCAACATCTTTGTTGTGAATGTGTTGCCAACCTTGTTTTTTTAGGGATAGGGCCCTTCCCTGGGAATAAGGAAATGGTAGGAAAGGGTGGGGAAGGCTCTCTCACTCATCGGACGAAACGCAGCCATTAAAGACTACTTTACACCGATTTTCTGTGAGAGGATGGTAATTTCCCGGCCGAGCCAGCCCATGTTCGAGTCTAGTAACTGACCACAGCTAGGCTCTACCACCTAACAAGTAAATTAACGACTTATTTTATATTTATATCAGTTTTTTTTGCGACAAAGTCTTTCCAAACTGTTTTTATTTGTTTTATTACCTTTCAATAATTCAACCAGTTCTAAATAATAACACTCGTAATATAATAATTATGGATTTGAAATTATAGTCTATTAATAAAATTCATATCATTTTAAAGGCTTTGTCTAGGAGACACACAATAAGTAAAGTAATATTAGATTTTCATATATATTTACTAGTTTCGTAATATGAATATTCTAATGAATAAAATACTTAGTTATATTTTCAACCCCATAACTTCTCAGTTATTCAGTGATAAATCTTTATAATCTTATTAATATCATTTATTGTTTTTCTTCAATCAAACTACCAATTGGTCAAGCTGCTCTCTGGTCAAGTTCCTATATTACTCTTCCTCAAATATCCGCAACAGTCTGAAGACTGATTTGAAACAAGTGAACATGAGATAAAATATTGAAGAGTCATTGAGTATTTAGTACATAGTAGCAGTTAGTTCAAAGTTCTGTGTGTAAATAACGTTTTATTTTAAAATCAAATCACACTCACATGTTTGTGTACTTAGTACGAGTATAATAATTTGTATGTTTAACATAACTTAAAATTATATTATATTGACCTGATACTCGGTCACTAAAGATAATAAATACTGTTTTAGTTTTTGAAGCTTAACGAAAACGGTTGTGCAACGTTTGTTTTACTTATCTACAAAACCACCTTATATCTAATATGTAAAATATAAGTAATCACGTAAGCTTTACTAGTTTTATTTTAATTTAAAATTTATACAATGTCTTACCAGGAACCATCACGTCTTTCTTTTTTATATATATTTTTTTAACGATTAGTTTTACAACACTGGTTAAAGTTACTTAATTAAATAATAATTATTTATTTTTTAAATGGGATTTTGAAAATATATTCATTTTATCTTTAAAGGAATAAATATCTTAATGATTCTTTTAAAACTTGAGAGTACTGAAATCTATTTCAATTAAAAATGATGTATGAATTTTATTTAAATACAGTTATAAATGTTCGTTTTGTTATTATGTATATGTACTTAACTTAAAATTATTTTCTATAATAGCGAATACTCAGAAAGGACCAAGTATCAATTAATTATTAAGTAACCACTTTACATATGATTTTGAATATAGTGCATTAACAGCTATTAAGAGTGATGAATAAAATATGTCCTATTTAAGTTCTCTAGACCACCCATAGAAAAGGCTTGTACTAGCTTTTGATAACGCCTCATAATGTTGGCGTATAGTCGCATATCAAAAGAAAGGTCAGAACATTTCGTGTTTGTACCAAAAAAAAAGTTATGCGACTTACATATTGTGAATCCGGTCTATCTGAAAAAGATTTTAATTTATATTTAAATGTAAACTTTTTTTGTTGTAATGTTATGGTTATTTAGCTAGTAACCAAATGTATTTTTATTAATATATCTCTTTATATTTACTACACAGCACAAACGAAGTCATTATTATTTTACGTTTAAAGTCATTATTATTCTACGACAATAAGAGATTTTGTTTATCAACGTATGCTAACTTGAATATTACGTGCTTTAAAATATCAAATATTACTCTTACAGTTTCAATGACTACTTAGAATATCAAATAACTTTATAACAATGGCTAAAACCTAAGTCTAGCTTTGTCTAAAACTGACCTCATATAAGTACTCTCTGATCTCTCAGCATTGTTTGTATTATTGAGTATCACTTATTACAAGAATTTTGTAATGTGCTTCAATCCGATCTATTATAAAAAGTTTGATTATCAATTCCACGTTATAAATACTTCAGATTTGTTTTGTTAATGATCATTGTTTTGATAAGTACAATAATAAAAAAGACTCGGAACAAGGAGAAGGTTGGTCTTTTTAACGTTCATTTATAATGTTGAAGGGTGATCTTCAGAATTACAGAAATAACTCTCAAAACGTTTTGTTACTCGTCTGTTTAATAATATTGATGAATATTTACTTCTTCAAAACATTACATCACTCCGAACATTAAAATCAAGTTGCTAAGTCATGACATGTACTTATCATACGAGTATAACTTTTTTATAGTTTTTGTGACTACAAAACTATGTAACTGGTTTTTATTTATTTAGCGTTACTCTCTATGATTTTTTTTAGTTTCTATAGTATCTGAAAAAAAATGTGTAACATTGGTTGTATAACAATAACTCAAAGGAAATGTTTTAAATTAATTCACATCTTTAATGTGAGAAAACGTTTTGAGACAGTCGAATTTGAGATGAATATGTCATGTTTGTGGTAGATTTAGATTTTTAGTTATATTAAAAGAAATGTATTGTATATATACATATATTATGTATCTAAACTAATAAATAAAATTGAACTCTCTGTTTGTTACATTAAATAAAGTCAATTATTAATTTCAAACTTATATACAATACCGTGTGTATATAAGAGTATCTGATAGTATATATTTTAAACACATGTAGCGGCATGATGCAAGATTTCGGTGAAATCTATGAGATCCATATCAGTTAACAAAGGAATTACGACCGCACTCTTGAAATTTTACCGTTTTTATTAGAGTCACGTTTCCAATGAAAGGAACGTTATGTGTGTACAGAACAAAAAAACAAAGACAAAAATATATTTTGGAAGTTAAATAAAACTAAGCAACAGTTATTCTATTTGAAAATCTTACGGTGGAGTTTATGGACGCACCCTAGTCTAGATGAAGTCAGAAATATGACGAAATGTTTGGTAGACTATTACGGCTGCCTTATGTGTTAAATTTAAATGAATTAAGTTGTTAATAATTAAATTAACGTCCAATAAATAATCAAGTATTGTCACAGGCTTAGCCTTTATATAGCCTTTACACCTTAAGAAGCGGATCCCGTTCACAGGTAACTGGAGATGTTTTAACAATACTACTGTAAGAATGAAAGAGTCCTTTGTACTGGAAAAGCAAATATCCCTGGATCAAATACTTCCATACTTAACTTGATACCTTCAGACTTTCAAGGCTTATTTACTGTTATTACCCACTAACTAAAATGAAAAATTTAAATAAAACTAATATTTTCGGATTTAGGGGAAGATGTTGTACCTGTGGACGGTTTTACCTGTGGACACCTCCGATATCTTAAAAAATGTATACAGGAATTGAATGAATTGAACGCATCCGTAAAGTATTTTTGATGTATGGCAACACTGACTAGTAGCCATTTTGTGTTTGTTATTGTGTATTTGGTAACGGACTGCTAAAGGTTTTCTACAAAAAAAGTAAGTATTTATATCATTTTCGTTTTATATTTTTGTGAATATATGCAGAGTATATATCATTATCTTGGGTCAGAATGTAGTGTATGTTGTTAAACATCTATTTTCAGTGGTATAACAATGTAAAGCAGTACCGACTATGGCGGTAATATGTTTTTAAATTATAATGTCAGATTTGTACCTATGGACATCAAAGAGTATGTACCTGTGGACTGTCCACAGGTACAAACTTTGGATTTAATTTATTACTTTATTAGTAAATTCCTAATTAGAAGTAATTTTGTCCTGTTTTTTCAGTGCCTCGTAGTAAGGATGGAAAAACGCGACGTAAGCTGTGTCCAGAGACATTGTCTGAGGCAGTTAAAGAGGCAAGAAATGGATGTTCTTTACGAAAAGTTGCAGAAAAATATGAAATACCAAAATCTACCATATTTAAATACCTTCGCATGAATAAGGACAAGGATCTGGATCGTAACAATATAGATATTTTGAGAAATGACGTAAAGAAAGTGTTCAATGATGATGAAGAGAAACAGCTAGAAGAATATTTCGAAAAAGCAGCTTACCTACATATGGGATTAAATGTTAAGCAAGTGAGAGAACTAGCATACCAGTTTGCAGTGATGAAGCAAAAACAAAATATCCCAAATAGCTGGCACCAACACAAAATGGCTGGCGTAGGCTGGCTAAGATACTATCGTCAACGTCATTCACATTTGTCTCTACGGAAGCCTGAAGCAACCAGTTTGGCGCGAGCAAGTAGTTTTAACAGACCTAATGTTTCTAAGTTCTTTGACAACCTCCAAAAAGTAATTGAAAAACACCAATTTACCCCCGAAAACATATATAATCTGGATGAGACTGGGATATGCACAGTTCATAATCCGAGAAAAAGTACTGGCTCCAAAGAAAATAAAACAGCTAGGTAAATTAACATCAGGAGAAAGAGGTGTAAATAACACCATGATTGCCTGTATAAATGCTGTTGGAAATTCAGTTCCCCCTTTGATAATATTTCCTAGAGTTTTCTTTAAAGACAATATGTTAAAAGGTGCTCCTCCAGGTACGATTGGTGCAGCTAACCAATCCGGATGGTCAACTGAATTGATCTTTAGGAAATATCTGGATCATTTCATAAAGTTTGCAAAACCTACGAAAGAATGTCCAGTCCTCTTGTTAATGGACAACCATGAAACACATATCTCAATTGATATCATTGACAAAGCCGTCGATAATGGTATAGTTCTGCTCACGTTGCCTCCACACACATCAGATAATTTACAACCTTTAGATCGTTGCGTTTTTGGACCATTTAAGGCGCAATATAACAAAGCAGCCGATAAATGGATGCTAAATCACCCTGGAAAACCTATTACAATTTACGACATTTCAGAAATTGTCGGTGATGCATATCCTCTTGCTTTCACACCCAAAAATATTATTAAAAGTTTCGAGGTAACAGGCATTTGCCCATTTAATAGAGATATATTCAGTGAAGAAGATTTTTTATGCTCATTTGTTACTGATCGACCCCAGCCATTGACCACAATTTCAGATAATTGTACTCAAAGTCAATCTCTCACGGATAGTGTAGAAGAGGTAATGCACATTGCTGGATCATCTGGAATTCGGCATGCAAATCAGGATACAGAAACTCAGTCTACTGCTGTTTGTCAGTTCTCTCTGGATGAGACTCGTGAAGATATTGAAAACGCACCAATCACTCCGAAAAAAGAGCTTCACAAAATAACGCCGGAATCTGTATGCCCGTTTCTAAAAGCAGACCCTCGAAAATCAGCTAGACGAGGAAGGAAACCTGGAAAGAGTAGAATTTTAACTGATAGTCCAGAAAAAAATGAAATAAAGAACGAAGCAATTAATAAAGCAGAAAAAAAAAGAAAAATAGAAGAAAAGAAAAAAAATAAGAAAAAAGATATACCGAAAAAGACAAAAAAATCCTCCAAAGGGCTATCAAAGGCCGGCGTTAGCGAAAAGAACACCTCATCTGCAGAAAAAAAAGTCACAATTCTGGCTGACGAGGTGTTACCTTATGCCATGTGTATAGGATGTAGAAAACATGACAGTGTTAATAAAATGCTCGATTGTTCTCAATGTGAATTAAAATATCACAAAAAATGTGTATCACGATCACACAGAGATATTTTTGAATCAGATGATGAGTCGGTTTTTTTATGTGAGAAGTGTTACATTTTAGATGATGATGATGATTCAGATACCTCTGATGACACTGCCTTAGCATTATATAAACAGTATTGCGAAGCCAAAAATAAATTTAACTGATTATTTAATGTTATTAATTACTTTATAAAGAGTTTTTGTTTACTTTTGTTGATTTTTATAGAATTATTATATAAGGAAAATTTACCAGTCCATAGGTACATTGCCGTCCATAGGTACAAGTATAGCTGTCCATAGGAACAATCATGAGTTGTACCTATGGACAAATTTAGTGTTTTTAAAAAAAGTCATTTATCATAATAATTATACTTTGTACAAAACTAAGGACTGCTAATTGTTAAGCATTAACTATTACTGTAGTAATATTTGTGATACTTTATGGCTATTAAATTATAATTAAGTCATAAAAAATTATTTTCATTCAAAATCCGGCGAATGTCCACAGGTATAACACCTTCCCCTACTATATGAGACTCATGTTGTCTGCATGTGATAAAGATTGCTGAAAAGTAACCGAAAAGTTCGCAGTATATAATTAAAATCTCGTAGGAAATCCGAAAATATCAGTTTTACTTTTAATGAGTGTTCGCGAAAGTCTTAGATCTCATTAAAATGATGAGTATGTAGTTCGTTTGGAACATATATATTAAAGTGACATGTTAAGTAGTAAATTAAAAAAATCTTGAAAGGGTTGACTTGAACAAGATACGGTTTTGTTTCCGAACTTTAATTTATTTTTATATAATTACTAAATTGAAATATAAATTAATAAAGTATAAAGATATGAGTTCGAATGAATGTTTTATTTTAAGGAGGGTGCAAAGTAACTTAATGACTAGTTTTTGCTTTTCGTTATACTTAACTCATAAGTTTTTATAACTTTTTATGATTATCTGAAGCACTTACAGTTTAATGTGATTCATAATTTTTATTGGTGTATAAATTCCTTGTAATTATTAGATTTTCATTCCAAATTATTGTTTTAGTGTAATATTCGTTAAAGAACTTACACGTTTACTGAAACAAATCAGAGTTGAATTGAATATGAAATTACATAGTATTCAAAACCATGTTATGTAGTCCTTCCTACTAGTATTATAATTGCTAAAGTTTGTGAGTGTGTGTATGTTTGTTACTTCTTCACGCTCAAACGGCTGAACCGATTTTGATAAAATTTTGTATTCAGGAAGCTGACGTCCATTAATAACCCATAGGCTACTTTACATCCCGGAAAATTTTCGTCTCTTCATCATTCATATAAGTGAAAAACCATATTTACTTACTCGAGAATTCAACTCGTAGCCAAAACGACATTATCGCTATGTACATCTTACTGGTCTATTTTGGCACGATCGACAGTCAATAAGTATTCCTTTCGTTAAAAAAAAAGAGAGTGATAGACAATATCTATAGACAACAGTTTCTTTCTGTAGTTAATTTATTAAATACTGCCGAACTATTCATGTTAACGTAATTCTTATTTTTTATAACATTTCTGTTGTTTTGTAGTTGTTGGGTATTGCCCCATTTGTGGGCTTTCTTTTATATATTACTAATGCCGAAACTAACGCGGACGAAGTCGCGGGCAAATCTAGTGTTATATGAATCAAAACCCTAGTAAATAATTATAAAACATATTATATGTATGTATATACAACATACGTGTATAAATTGATGTTCTTTCACCTACCACCTGATAACTTGATAAACCCTCCAGTGAGTTATATGTCAGGTGTATATTTAAGACGCTAAAAGATTAGTCTGATTTACTTAAATTATAATAGTTGATCAGGTTAGTTATTCTGAAGTAAAGTGTCTTTGTATTATACAGAATAAAATTAAATGCAAAAAGTAAAAAATGAAGTGAATAATAAGGAGAAAGTATTTAATAATAATATAAAGTATTAACAATCAATACATTTAGCACAATTCATTGTATATGGTTTTTGTGCTCTGTTTACAATGTTACTTATATTGTCATTCAGTTATTTGTCTCAATTGATAATTACAAACTCAGCTTTTTAAGTTTATTACTGACTTAATTAACAAACAATTTTCTTTTATACTCTTAATAAAATGAAGAACAAGAAAAAGAAACACGATAAACTTTTCTCGTTGCTTGTAAGTATTTAATTAGTTTTATTTAGTTTTTAATTGTCATTTAACATTAAGTAATTACAGCAAAATGAAAGGTGGGTTAAAATACATAGTTATATCTTTTAGTTAATTACCTATATGATTGATATATCATTGGTTCAACCTTACTATGAGACTCATCCTATCTGTAATGTAAATGTTCAAATCTGTGCCAATAAATTGTCGACTAGTTCAACTTCTATTTGTGTTCTTCAATTCTAGTCTGAATCGCAGTTAAATCAGTAATATTTGGTATAATGTTAACATTTGTTTGTTTTAAAACAATTTGTTTCCGTTTGGATAGTGAAGTTTATTAACCTTTAACTACCGACGTGGGGCCTGTGAGGCCGCGGCGGGTTGACAAGTTGTTAGTTTTACCGCTTCCCCGCGCACGTGAGCCCCGTGCTCGTCAGTAGCTGCGAGTTTAGTTGCGCCGACGCCATTGAGTATGGTAGCAGTGCCGGCGAACACAATTTCGGTAAGTTATGTTGTTTTGAATTTACGACGCGGCCTCTCAGGCCCGACGTCGGTACTAACGTTAGTTTTTTGTTTGGGTCATGAATGAAATTAAATGCTTGTTTTCAGAAATCTACCGGATAATTTGAAGAATGAATGTACCAGGGACATCAGGGGGTAAACGTAGTTTACCTACGGATGAATTACGTTTTTCCAAAAGACCACGGCGTCCTATAAATTGAGACCTTGCTTGCAGAAGACTCCAGCGGATCGGAGGTAGATGATATCGGGGAAGATTACGTACCAGAAATCAGCGATCATGAGACAGGTACTGATACTGATATATCTGATATTGAAACTACAACTCAGCCATTACTTCAGACGGAAACTATTTCCTGTTCCTTGTCGGATGACGAAGATGTGCCGCTTTCTAGGCTTTGTTATTTTAGAGGAAAAAATAAATAGAAGTGGTCAATACCTCCTCCTAACCTCCTGATCGCGGTGTGTTTATAAAGCAGTTAGCTTGGCAACTCGTATTAGTCCACATGAAGAGAAGGGTGTTAAACTTACGCTTGCCTCGTGAACTTCGTATGAGTTTAGAAAGAATACTCGGTCCTGATATGCCAAACACAGAACAAAGTCAAGCAAAAGAAGAAAAAACAAGAAAAATATGTGCCTCTTGTCCGCCTAAATTAAATAGAAAATCTACATATCAATGTTACTCATGTAAAAACATATTTGTTTACAGTGCGCTAAACAAATCTGCCCTAATTGTGGCTAACTTTGTTGTTGGACATTTTTTTTATTTTATGAAAACAATTTAAGTTTAATTTTTTTTAATAGATATAACATTTAAGTTTAAGAAAAAAGTCCATTTCATGGTTCCTAAGAAGTAATATTTCTTTAATTATTTTTATTTCGGGAAGTGCCATTTTTAAGTTTAGAATCGGTGTCAAAGATTAAAGATCATATAATTTCAAAGTTTAATAAAGTTGATTATAATAATTGTCTTTGTTTTCATTTATAGATCCCAAATTAACGATAAAACTAAAAAAAATAGATGTCTATTGTACATATTTTCCATTCCACACAGTGTTTAATATGCGGCCTCTCAGGCCCCACGTCGGTACTAGTGATACAAAAAAACCACGTCGGTAGTTGAAGGTTAATTCAGTGTAACATTTATGAGAGTAAAAACTATTTTTATTTTTATTCCTATACAATTATTGTACCTACAGGTGGTTGACATGGAAAAACTTCCTTTTTTTTTCCTTTTTACTTTTTAAAAAAAGTTTGACAACGAAACATTTTGTCCTGAAACTAGAAAATTATTGTACCGTTAACATTACAAACAAAATTGTAATATATTTAACTATAACTATTCCAAAAATCAGCTTGTAGTAGATTTATTTATGAAAATTAAACGAGTATGTTCTTATGTTAAATCTCGAATGACAAAATGTACGTAATGTAAAAGAAAAGCTGAATAAAATAATAGTATGTATAGCAAAAGTTCGATACAAATTCTAATTTGACAGCAGCTCTCTTTTACGTTACACATTTATAAAAAAAAATTGTGACAAGCAAATGGAATAGTAGCATAGATTTTTTCATGTAAGTGTCACTTCGACAGATAATATTGAGACTACATGTATTTATACATACATATAGTGTAATAAAATTCAATTATTTCTTTTTTGTATCCCGAATTGTATTAAAATCTTTATTTATACACATCTTAAATATTTAATTGTTAGGCGTTATCTATTTTTATGAATACTTTATGAATACAATATTTATCACAATCGTATTCGATGAGTTCTACTTTTAAAAGAATTTTTTATTATATATGTCGTAAATTCGTTGTTATTGTTGTTACTATAGGATTAGATTTCATCCACTTCACCTAGATGCATTCATTTGCAAGACTGTACGTACATCAAAGTCATTTTATTACGAACATGTGGATATGGAATGATCTTTCACCTCAGATTTTCCCAGAGAGCTACAACATTGGGTATTCTATATATCATTTGTTCAGGTACGTCCACATCAATCAAGTCCGGCAAGGCATCTATTTACAACATCTCTAGCGCTGTAGATGTCCATGGACGACGGTGACTATTACCGATCAGGTAGGTCATCTGCTCGTTTTCAGCTTTAATAAATTTCGTTATAAAGTTTTGGCAGTTAATGCAATAATTTAAGATAATAATAATTTAAGACTTTAAAAAAGTTAACCCAATACCATTAAATACCGAATGTTATAAAAATACAATTCTTATTCTTAAAATAAAGTAGCTATAATTTAATTTACTAGAATAAAAACTTAGAAGCCTTCTGTTATAAAAGAAAACTACTGATATTTATTTTTTTCAAATTAATAATGCATATTTTTAAACAAAGAGAAGCTTTTACAAATTATATGATAGCAGATATACTTTATTTTAATAAATTTTGTTTCATTTTTTTTCACATTATTATATATTACACTAAACTCACTTTTATCG